CTTATCATTTATTCTATACACTTTCTCTTCCAAATCGATTGTCAATTTCCCCCAAACCACTGAGTTTTCTAGAAACTGCATTGAATATATAGGTTCATTTTAGGAGAACTGACATCTTTACAAAACGGAGGTTGGCTGTCTGGAAACACGGTCTCTTCGTTGCTGCCAGTTTCCGTACCTGCCCCGCAGTAAACACTTATGGTTCCCTCCCCACACTCCTTGTTGACTGGACTCCTCGGGGCTGGAAGCTTTTGCTGCCAATGTAGAATGTTTTTCCTTTCATTACATTTTCTAACTGGCGGTGACTTTTATACAGGAAAACTTTGCAAAGGGTGACTTTGCTGTACTCTTCTAATTTGTGTTTCTGTTGAGTCCGGGTAAGGTTTCGGAAAACAAAACCAGCCTGGTATCTCCCTAGAAATACCTTCGTGTCTCATGTCCCCCGACAACATGTAACCCCATTTAACCCCTTCCAGGGCACCGGGCCTTCCTGGCCTGGCCCTGCACTCCCCGCCCAGCCTCCTCCAGCAGGACTCAGCTCTCCAAGCCAGCGACTGCCCAAGGCACCTTGGACTCCGTGCATGCTCACACCTTAGGGAAAAGGTGCCTGCTCACACCGGGCGCGCTCACGCCTTGGACACTGTGCACACTCACGCCTTCACACCCGTGCCCGTGCTCAGGCCTTCACGCCCGTGTGCATGCTCACGCCTTTACACCAGTGTACGTGCCCTTTTCTGCCGGGAGCCCCTTCTCCCCCTGCACCTTTAACTGGTTCTTCCCACTTGGCCGAGCGCCCCTCTTGGGGAGGCCTTCCCGGACCCCTGCACCTGCCCCCCAGCACCTGTCGGCTTCCTGTAGTGGAGCTCTGCCCGCCCCCCACCTTCTCCCGAAGGCGACAGCGCGCATTTAGAAATGAACAAGGACCCGAGAGAGTGCCACGTCCCAGCAGCCCGTTTGAATATTTTAATGGAAATCCCCCCCCTCCTTTCTTTAAGGTTAAGTCCAGCTTCCAGCTTCACGTTTGTGAGGGTCCTGAGCGGGCGAGGGCGTTGGGGG